CCAGAATATTTTTCATGTACTTTTTCAAAAGATTTATAATTTTAGGGGTATTTTTGTAAGCGGCCCCTTTTATATAGGCCCAAATCCCAAAACCCATAATCTAGCCCAAATTTCTCGAAATCAATTCCCATTCCCAGATCAATCCCGTCTTCTCCCTTCCTTGTCTATGGTACCGCCAAATCAACAGCCGGCGAACAATACGGCCGTCATCTAGCTGTTTGGTAAATTATTATCGTCCTTATTTTTTTGTTGCTTCAATTTCAATGTGTATTTCATTTTATTTTATTTTACAATGTTGCATTTTAATTCTTATGCATAGATTGACTTAGATATCGCTCCTTATTCGTTCAATTTATTATTATTATTTTTTATCAATGAAGTGTATGATTTCTTATGGTTTACCAACCGAGTTTTAAGCTTGTGAATTACATAATGTGGAGAGTTTGTGACTTAGATCAGGATTCTGCGGAAGAAATGAAAATTTTGACCATGATGAATGAACTTATAAATTTTTTTGATTTTAATACGAAGTGAATTTGCACTACTTTTACCCGGAAGAAATTGGAGTTCTTCAAAATGGAATCAAGAAACTATTATACTTTTATTATTTATAGCTACAGTTTAGAGTTCTGTGTCCATTCCAAATTCCAAAAGCAAATTTACTGTGCTTAAACGCCTTATCGAATAGGCTTAGCTACTTGGTGTAAATAATTCATGGCATATCTTCACCCAATTTTCTTGTATGTTCATTAAAATTGTGCCAGATGGATGTGGTATATCATGAAAAGTGAAAGCTACTGATGGATTTATTATCGTTTGATGGCATATCATCATCCTGTAGATGTATTTTTTATATATATTACTTACAGGTTTTAATAATTTTTCAAAATTTTTATAATAATGATTTTGATTCGTTTTATTGTGGTATACCTTGTAATCTTGTTTCACCCGTGCCAATCACTCTAATTTTGTTCTTCTCATGTACTGACTTTGTACAACCCCTCCACGAGTAGATGAAATGTTGCATTGCTCTTTATAAGATCGATAATGTTGCAATTATACTGCGTTTCGTAAGTATGAAAACCTGTAGGCAACAATTGTAAAAACTTGTTTCATTTTTTATAGTATTTTGATCTAGTTGTATGTAGGTGTATATAAACAATTTTTGTTATGAGACTCCCAATAAATAGTTCAAATCAAAACACGACATTTGCCCCCAGAGATAGAGAGCCGTCGATACTCTATTAGTTTATTTGTTTGGCTTTTCTTTGCCTTCTGCAGTTAATTTTATCCTTCTCTCTTTCTCACACACACACGCACAAAAATAGACATGAACTTGTTTCTTTTCCTAGATATCAACCAAGATGAAATTTCAGCTATTGGTTTTATGAAAACATCCTAATATTATCTGTTAAAAATATCTGTGATTGAGACAAGATTGAAAAAACAAGAACCTAGATGTCAAGAAATAAAGATTGAGAATCCGAATTCTAAATTATCCACAGGCTGTGGAACTACTGTGCATTCATCCCTTAGTATAAAGAAGTTGATGTCTCATGATTGGATATCTTGCATTAACAGAGTCATATGATTGTTTTTCCAGTTGAGAGAACAAGAAGTAGACACAGCTTCCTGGATGGGAAATGTGCATTTATTGTGTGGTATGTAGATTGTTCCTTATGTTCAGTACTTGGCCAAGCATCAAATTTCTGAAGCAAAAGAGCAAGCTCTGTTCGTTGTCTCTGGTTTTCAAAGCCTACTGTATCACAAAAATCAATGCCAACCCGAAAGTTTTACAATACTGTGAAACAAGTTTTCAGGACGAATTTAGCTTCGACATCAGATCATGGAATCGCCAATTTGGTCTCAAAAGCCTTGATTAGTTCTACTCCAAAATCTGTTCTAATCTCACCAGCTCTGATTTCAAATCTTAATTCCGGTATAATCAACCTCGTTCTCTCAAATCCTCTTGTTCCAGCCTGGTCTTGCTTGCACTTCTTCAAATTCCTGCAAACCAATCAGTCTATCACGCGTCAGAAACCAAATGTTCAAGCCCATATTACACTCATTTTGAGGTTATTCAAAACCAGAAAATTTGCAGAGGCCAAGAATATATTGCATGCTGTTGTTGTTGATGATGATCTCAGATGCCCAGTTTCAAAGATAGCTTCTTTAGTGGGTGAAAGTTGTGAAGAACCCAAAATCATTGTGAAGCTCTTTGATATGTTATTTAGAGTTTATGCTGATAATAAGAGGTTTGAGGAGGGTTTGGAGATTTTTGAACATATGGTTAATAATGAATATAAGATTGATGAGCGATCTTGCATGGTTTACTTGATTGCACTCAAGAGATGCAATAAATATGAGTTATTTTTTCATTTCTTTCAAAGAATGGTGGAGTCAGATGTGGAAATTACAGTTTATTCAATGACTATGGTGATTGATGGTTTGTGTAAAAGAAGAGAGGTTGATAAAGCGAGAAAATTGATGGATGATATGGTTGGTAAAGGGATCAAACCTAATGTGTATACTTACAATACATTGATAGATGCATATGTAAAAAAGTTCGATTTTAGTGGAGTGGAAGATATTTTAGCCGCAATGAAGGAAGCAAGAGTGGACTTCAATGTAGCAACTTATACTCTTTTGATTGATGGGTGTTTGAGATCTGGCAAGATTCAAGACGCTGAGAAAACATTTGAGGAAATGATTGAGAATGGAGTAGAGGCTGATGTCCATGCCTACACTTCAATGATTAGTTGGTACTGTAAGTTGGGTAATGTGAAAAGGGCATTTGCTTTGTTCGACGAGATGGTGGAGAAAGGCCTTGATCCAAATGTTCACACTTATGGTTCTCTTATAAATGGTTTGTGCAAAGCCGGGAAAATGGATGCAGCTGAGATTTTGCTCAATGAGATGCAAAGTAAAGGAATTGACTTGAATCGAGTAATATTTAATACACTGATGGATGGTTATTGTAAGCAAGGGATGATCCGTGAAGCTTGGAGACTTCAAGGGGTTATGGAGCAGAAAGGACTTGAAGCAGATGTGTATGTTTACAACACAATTGCCACTGGGTTGTGTAGACTAAATCAGCACGGGGAAGCAAAAAGTTTGCTGTTCTCAATGGTAGATAATGGCGTGGCCCCAAACACTGTTGCTTACACTACTCTGATTGATATATATAGCAAGGAAGGGAATTTTGTTGAAGCAAAGAGGATGTTCCATGAGATGGAGAGTAAGGGAGAAAAACCAAATACTGTGACATACAATAGTTTGATAGATGGATATTGCAAGAAAGGTAAGATGAAGGAAGCAAATATACTAAGAAAGGAGATGGAAGCTAGGAGATTGTTGCCAGATGTTTATACATACACCTCTCTTCTCCATGGAGAATGTATAGTCGGACAGATAGACAAGGCTCTGAAGTTGTTCAAAGAGATGCCTACAAAGGGATTAATTCCGAGTGTTGTGTCGTACACGGCATTGATTTCAGGCTTATCAAAAGAGGGAAGATCAGATGAAGCTTTCAAATTATATGACCAGATGATTGAGGCTGGTTTGACGCCTGATGACACTGTATACTCTTCTCTTGTCGGCAGTCTTCATGGCTCTAGACCTTATTTTAGAGTCAGTTGAGGAAAAGAAATCAACCATAATCATACTGGCACTTGGGCCTGTGGCTTTCTATCAGCCATTTTCTCTCTGCTGACTACATTTTTGTCTGCTTGGATCTCCTCACCAGTGATTGACGAAGTTGAAAAACAAGTAAGTGCAGAGATGGCCTCTTTATTCTTTCCTGTTGTTCTTTCCTTTTATCTTGAAAAACTGTTATATTGTGACAGTTTTGGCTTCTCTAGGAGGAAATATTTGGTGCTGTCGAACTCTGAATAGATTACTCACAAGCTGCCGAGTAACGTCCGAGGCTTGAAACCTAGAACAAAGTTATACCAATCTATTGGTCTACAAATATGAAGCACACAACTAAATTATAATTTGAAACTTTATATTTTTAACAAATCTTGCAATCTTCGAAAGATACAGAATTGATAATTGAACAAAGAAATTATCCAAAAACTGGAAATGAATGTCTGGTAAATCATGTTGCATAGAAACTCTGAAGTAGCCTGTTACTGTAATATTTACAAGAATTGAAGCATCCATAGTGCCAATATGGTGACAACACATGATATATATTTTAAGCTCAGATAAAGTAGTCCTAGGCTCCTAGCTTTGGCATGTTAGTTCAACTAAAATTGGTCCTCTAATGCAGAAAATTATATATTAATTTTTTATTTTTTAAGAAGAAAATCTTTCATTTAATTCCAGTCATTGCGAACTTCACATTAAAGCAATGAATCGACCCAAGATTAACTATCTACTTCCACACGTATTTTTTAATGATGTATTACGAGAATAATATTTGTAAATATTTAAATTTGAACTTCTTTGATGTAAATCCCTTGTAGCAGTATTGTAATGCTCAATCTTATGTGTAATTGTAACGACCCAAATTTTTACCTTTGGAATCATTATACACGTACCGTAAAATAATACTTTCATAAAATAAAAAAAATAAATCATAATATCTTTTGAATGTGAAAGGTTTAAAACAAATTTTAAAGAAAATATGATAAACATTGTTAAAAATCTTTAACTACTTAAATCATTATTCATTTTCAATCACGCAAGCATAATCCACCTCCGATCGCTCTAAACCCGCCTCTTTTAATTACCTATAAAATATTTAACATATACATATGAGACATAAATCTCAGTAAATGAATAATAATGAGTTTCCATCTCATATTTAATTACGGAAAATCATAACATACATATAGAGACACGAGAATTAAAATTTGAACTTCGTGGCTATAATTCCCGTGCGAAGCGCTACTGAATTCCGATCCTTTGAACTACGCATATAGGACCCTTATCATAATCATAGCTAGAATTTTCGTGTCATCATATTCATAACATAAATTTCCGTAATTTAAATAATGAAAGAACAATTCGTACTACTAAACTTACCTTTCACTTGATAATTCAAAAATGATAGAAGAAGTGATTGTTGGAGGGAGATCCTTGAGCCGTGTGCCGGGTTGTGTGATTGTGTAAGTGTATGACTAAATTTAATATAAAAAAGATAAGAGAAAAAGTAAAGGTGTAGAAACAAAGTGATAGAGATAGAGAGGAAGAGTGTAAATAATTGGTGAGGGATACTCCAATTTTGAGTTTAACTTCTATTTATAGTGCAAATTCTTGGACCATGTATGGAAAATTGAAAGGAAATGGCTAGATATTAGACATGATCAAAGCATAATTGGTGTATGTCTTGAAAGTTGTCAAATCAATTCATTTAATCATGTGATCAAATCAATTGACTTGGCTTGAATCTTGGTATAAATAATGCATGTGGTCTAATCAATTACTTTAGTTTATGTGGTCAAAGCAATTACTTTGCTGAAAAAGTGGTGAATAATGCATGTGGTCAAATAATAATTTTTATTCATATCTAATTGACATATTTACATATATTTTACATATAATTTTATTTAACTTTCAAATTAACTTATCACTTAGGCCCTCAAACTATTGGTTAGTAATTAATAAGGTCATTAGACTTTAATAATAGCGTATTTAAGTCCTAATTTTTAATCTTACTAGTAATAAAAATTCGGGATATTACAGTAATGCTTCTTTTTCAATTTTTATGACAAGTACTTACAGTAGTTAATTTTGAAATTTTTTTGGATGCACGGTTTTCTTTGCGGACTTCACTAGATAATTTATGACTAAATTAATTGATTAGCTAGACTTGAAAAATTTTAAAAGCAGACTATCGGTAAAATGTCACAATACTTGGAAATTGAAATTAAGCAAGGACTTTAGCTTTCAAATCCTTGAGGAATTGATCAAAATATCTGCGTGTTGATCCATACATCCTCAATACAACCTGCAAAGTCTTCCTCAATATCTTGCCTCAGGCCATTCGATGTTTCTCAATTCATCAAGCTCTTGACCTTGTCTGCAACTTCCTCTGTTGCAACTGATCACAAAGATGAATTCGAATCTTCTAATCATCGACCACTAATTTTCTATTTGTAGGTTTATCGTATGTAATTGTGTTAATCATTGGACCATATGTTCTCCAGTATTGAATTCCACTCACAATGTCGAAAGAACCTCATTTTTATTGCACTAAGGAATTATCAGCCCTTAATCTTTGATATCATTCTTGAATTCTGTTGGTAAAAAATCAGTATCACACTCTTGGCAATTCTTGCAGGCACTAAGTAGAATTTGTTAGCAATCAAGAAATGGACTGAAGATGGATTCCAACAACTTCATCTACTCCAACGGGAAATCTCTCAACATAGATTTCCAGAACACTTCCAGGTTGAGAAGTCGATCAAATCCCGTAGAAAAACTGTCAGAGATGGTGGTCTAGTGCATGTCAAGACTGGATTTCTGTGCATCACCAAAGAAATCGAGTCAAGTACTGGGATCATTATTGTGGGATTGTGATAAACAAATTTATTATCACGATGAAGCCCTTTGAAGCAAGCTTGATGGCTAGATTGGTAAATAGAGTAATATGACATCGGTATGGGAATGCGAATCAAGCGATCTTTATGATATGGAGCTTTTCCCGTCTCTACTCCATTTTCCTTTACATGTACATTCAGTATGGGCGTTGGGAATATAAATACTGCTCTGTATGTAAATTATGCCCTGTCATTTTCAAATTTCAAGACTATAAATCCATAAACAATTCTATATATCTTTTCGTTCATATTCATATTAACAAGTAGTTGCAAGGTGGATAAAATGACAAAGAAAAAACGAGAGGAAAAATTAATGGGCTTTCTTGGCCCATTTGTTTTATAACTAAACAAAGCACTAAATTGTTTGCTTACGGTGCCCAAACATGATTTGTTGATTCATCCCCAGGCCCATATGTATTCTGCAATTTGGCCTTCAAATCCTCAATAAAAAGATTGAAATTTCTATGAGATGATCCATCTCTTGCTAATGCGTTCTCTAGTCTACTACTCACTTCCTTAACTGCATTTCTTAACTCTTCTGAACTTTTTCCACTCATTAAACGTTTAATCTTCTCCGCCACTTCTTCCCTCGTAATTGATGCCTTATCGGAGAGATTAATCCCAATTTTCCAATCGTTAACCACTAATTTCCGATTAGTGAATTGATCGGTGAATAATGGAAAACAAATTAACGGCACACTACACCATATACTTTCCAGTACAGAATTCCATCCACAATGCGATAAAAATCCCCCAATCGCCGGATGTGAAATCACCTTAATTTGGCTACACCATTGCACAATTAACCCTCTTCCTCTCATGCTTTTCTCGAATCCATCAGGAAGAATTTCGGTTTCATCAGAGCTCACAATATCGGGTCGTATCACCCAAACGAAGTTCACCCCACTCAGTGAAATACCATGAGCTATCTCCATAATATCTTTTCTACTAGCGGTACGTGCATGGCTTCCAAATGAAACGTACAGAACAGAGCCACTGGGCTTGGTGTTTAGCCACTGGGTGCAATCCGACTCGGACCATAGACTTGTGGACACGGTCCGCTTGCTGAATCCTGCAGAGACAATGGGTCCAATTGCGTAGGTTGGCTGTTTGACATGCAGGGCTGAAAGTGTTTCAGATTCTAGTTCTTGAACTGTGTTACAGATAATGATGTCTGCCTTTTTCACATCCTCGAAAGCCCGATAAATTACCCGGTGTACCACCGTGCTAATGTCAGCCGCTTGAAGGTATGACATAAGGTCGCTTGGTTCAATAGCCTTCACTCCTGGTATATAATCTATGGTGTCCTTGCGATTATCTAACAGAAGTAGCATTGTAAAGTATTAATAAAGGCCACATGCAAAAAAATTAAGACACAATTGAAAGTATTAAGATGTGCATATCAAAAAGAATAATATTATTTAGAGTATTACAACATAAATTTAGGTGACATTTAAATGTCACTAAATGAGAGGCACAATTAAATAAATAACATAATTTCACATTTAATTGAGCATATCACAAAATTTCACCTAACATCATTCTATTAAAAACATATCTACCTAATATGCACTTCAATTGAAAGCGATTGGACCGACCAATATGTAAATTGGCCAATCACAAGTCACAACCAGTTACAGATAATGATGTCTGCCTTTTTCACATCCTCGAAAGCCCGATAAATTACCCGGTGTACCACCGTGCTAATGTCAGCCGCTTGAAGGTATGACATAAGGTCGCTTGGTTCGATAGCCTTCACTCCTGGTATATAATCTATGGTGTCCTTGCGATTATCTAACAGAAGTAGCATTGTAAAGTATTAATAAAGGCCACATGCAAAAAAATTAAGACACAATTGAAAGTATTAAGATGTGCATATCAAAAAGAATAATATTATTTAGAGTATTACAACATAAATTTAGGTGACATTTAAATGTCACTAAATGAGAGGCACAATTAAATAAATAACATAATTTCACATTTAATTGAGCATATCACAAAATTTCACCTAACATCATTCTATTAAAAACATATCTACCTAATATGCACTTCAATTGAAAGCGATTGGACCGACCAATATGTAAATTGGCCAATCACAAGTCACAACCACTCCAATCCCCTCAAACACTGGTATTCTCACAATAATATTCGAAAACACGTAAACTTGTCTCAAATTTCAATGTCAAATCGCAAACCATTCCGCCATCCTTAAGAAGTTCGAGTCCAACGATAATGGTTATGTTAGTTTTGTAAGACAAGAATAAGTACATCAAGATGTCGAGTTAAGCTTGGCACCTTCTTATCACTCTCATTATTTGTCCATTACTAAGCTTAATTGCCCTCGAAAGATTTCAAATCAGCATACTAAAAAGCAAGCCTATGTGAACACTTGAAAAAATATTTAGCATTATCGTCTAGCCGAGCTTTATTCTTTTTACGTCCATGATTTACTTTACATTTTTAGAACTCCGGTTTCAATACTAAGGAAAAAAAATAGTAGGCTTCTTGTTGAGATTGAGATAGAGGGAATGAGGGCATACCATTGGAAGGGAAATGGCCATTTTTCTTGAGGAGCTCCAGGTGATAATACAAAGACAAAACCAGAGCCGGTTCAGTCCAAAAAGACACACTAACAAGATTATACTTTGTGGCAATGGCGGATGTCCATACATAGAAAGTATCAGCAATTATACAAGTAACAGGCGGATCTGATTTAACTAAATTCCCTACAAGCTCATCCACATGAGCCGAGAATACATGCAGCAAACCCTCCACAAACTGATCGTGATTCACCGACCGATCAAACTCCACCGGAAAACCATCGGAAACCGTCGCGTAGCGAATATCCAGACCAGATTCACGCGCTTTGGTGAAAATGTCTTCTCTATTGTTCTGCGTTTGGGCTTTCGAAATTCGAAAATGGACGAATTGGGTATTGACGAAGGTGATTGTGAAGCCTTGAGATGCCAATTTCATGGCCAAATAGACAAAGGGATTGATGTGACCTTGGTAAGGGTATGGAATCATAATTGCATGTGGCCGCCGGTGAGTATTCGCCATTTAATCAATTTCCCGGTGGGTTAGGCCGAATTTGGGTGCCTTATATTCACAATAGCATTGTCGGAGAAAGGGATAAAGGGATTTCTTTTGCCAACCACCAACACCACCAACTGGAAAGCTATTGCAAAGATCAATAAAACTGAGAGCGGATAATAGTTTTTTAATGGAGATTTTGTTGAAAAATAGATGTGGATTGACCTGGCAATAGTTGGTTGCTTAATTCCCTTGTTTTAATGGTGAATGGGAGAATTTGGCATCTCAAATTGATCCGGATTCCGGATTATCACAAATTAATTTAAAGTGCATGGAAAAGCACAATTTGATTCGTGACCATTAGTTGTAAAGCTCCTTTCTATAATTCTATATATATATATTTTTTTTTTTTAATAAATAAATAAAACGTGTAGGTTGTCGCTTGCACAAATTATGACATAGGCTCGACCACTTAAGTTGATCTTAGACAAGTGCTGCTCTAGAGTGCACATGAATCTCTTTGACCGCTCATTTATCCCGTCCAAGTAAGTCAATTTGTTTAGCATTATAATGTTTTTGTCTTGTCACTTTTCATGATGTGTAAATTTTTTTGACTCAAGGACAACTATAAAGATGAATGATAATCATTCGGGACTAGCAGATTGTAACTCTTTTTAGACACTCATTTTTTTTTTTAACTCAAGGACGACCACATATAGATATCTAACGTCAAATAATACTCGAAGAAAATGAAGTATGGGAAACATATTATGTATTTGTTTTTACATGAAAGGTTTTTACTCTAATAAGGCTTTTGATGTATTAATTAAACATTATTGAGATCACAAGAAAGCCACGGCTTAAGCTATTAGTGTTTGTTCTATTGGACAACAAAAATCGCACTTTTTTGTCACTTTGTTCAAATAAGAGTTGTGCCCGTACCCGAAAAAGGCATGGGAGGATGCTGCAGATGTCCGAGGCGGACACTACTTCTTTTATTCTAAGACTAGAAGACTATTGAAAGATCAAGTTCAATGCTATATATTTGAGCTGCTTTCATAAAAATATAAATTTGTCTAACAAACATTTTTATTTATTTATAAATTAAATAGTCTATAAAAATATAAATTATTTATGTGCTATTTTTAAATGCTCAGACTTTTAAAGAAATATAGATACTAGAAAAGATGAATGCTAATAATTAGTTTGTGCAAAAATATTATTTTGATGGTGAGAGGCGAAGCCAAGAAACAAGTAGAGGGTGAAGGTGGTCCACATTCCAGTTAACAATTGACACAGAAACCAAATAATTAGAGGTCAATAATTGAGTGAAACAGAGAAGAAATGAATTGGGGTTATAAGATTCTTCTGGGTGCGAGGGAGGCAGTCGATGTAAAAATAATTGTAAAACTTGATTTCTATCTTCTTGATACTCTGATTTGAATCGAAGTCATATATACAAAACATCAAATGTTTATCAACCTTAAACTAGAGAATGATTTGTGTTGCCTTTAACCCTACCCACCCAACTACCGACCCCCACATACAATTTTGCTTTTATTTATTTTTCTTTCCAAGAGGTGGAATGGAATATTTGCATCAATATCTTGATAAAAGGCTACTAATTGCAAAGTCCTTTTTCAAGTGCTTGTCCAGTTGTTCGACCCCATTCTCCCACTCTATCGCCGACACTTAACCCTATCCCTACTACCTTGATTTTCAATATCAAAATAGATAGAACAATTGTCTCCGGTACTATCTCTAAATAAAAAAAGAAAAAAGGTATCATTAAAGATGAAATTTCGAATGTCTTTGATGCTCAATTTATCCATATGCCTCCTCTTGCTCCTGTCCTCTTCCTATCGTTGTAAAGTAGCACATAACATTAACAAAATTGCTAATTATCTGCATCCGAAGCAATATTATCCTAAGTGTTTAAAAATGCTCGTCTAAGCACGTTTAGACATGAGGCATGAAGAAAGCACCCCCACTTCATGCTTACATGGGAAAAAAGATGATTAACTATACATTGACTGTCTACAGTGCGCCTAGGCAGAAGCGGCATACACCTTTTTGATTGGCAAATAGTATTTTCTTGTTTTAAAGTTCAGGCCAACAAAATGTTTAATCGTTGCTAAAATTTAAAAAGGGAAAAGTCCAATAAAAAATCCACCCTAACTTAAATCCAACCCAAGAACGTATATTTCTCCGTTTAGGAACAAAGTATTATTCGTTCAGTATATTTATGATTTTCCGAACGATGTTTGTATTGAAAACCTTAAAAATATATATGAAGTTTCTATAAATTTTTAGGTATGCATGACCTTATTTAATTAAATAATGTTACTTGTATATAAGAAGTTATATAATAGTTTACATATAGATAAGGTGTCAAAAAAATGGGGAAGCTTTTTTCTATTTGGCTGAAAAAATTTTGACCCGATCATATCTCACACACATCATGTATATATAAACTATTATATACATGTAGCATAATCGTATTTACCTAGGCTTTATCTAGGCAAGTTTAGGCTCATAAGCCTTGAACCTCGAGGCTTAACATCCACTTCTTATGCCTTTTACAATATAGATACCCCCACAAATAATGGGTAACAAAATATACGGCTCGGTTTAATGTTGTATAATTTAAACTAGCTCATTAATTCTGCAAGCTTATATCGTTGAAATCCTGGAGTTTTAGAGACATGATACAAATAAGATTGCAAACATACTTATAAAGACGATGTCAAGTCAGTCGGGGGCAGACCCAAGGGGGTCCCCATCGGTCTCTGGACCCTTCAGTTTTTTAAAAATTTTTTTTTTTTTTTTTTTTTTTGTTTTTTTT